CTCATAACCGGTTGCCTTTATGCATGCAAATTATACACAAAAAAGGATCAAATAGTCTTTTGAATAAAAGATTCTACCCTAGGACCACAACCAAACAAGGAACAGGAAATAAGGCCAAATCAATCATTCTGAGACTATAAGCTCCTAACCGTATACAATTTTAAAAGCATACACATAGCAAGTCTCATACGATTATCAAGTTCAAATATCAGTATAACATGGCTAACATATTGGGAAATACTTAGTTGGCTCGGTCGATCGCGCGCGTTGCACTCTCTTCTTTTTATTCCTTCGAAGTTTTTAACTTTTATTTTGAAAACCAATTATCATTTCCTTAGTTTGAGTCCTGACACACCCGAGAGTGTGCCCGAATCCCTCAAACCAAGGCTCTGATACCAACTTGTAACGACCCAGTTTTTTTTCAAAGAAATTTTCATTTTTAATTAACCAAACACATTCCCATAAATCAAGAAATTCCACAACAATTGTTTCAAATCCATATTCATTACAACTTTATTTTTCAAATATCATAGTGTCCCATAAGGTCGTCTGAGAGAGAGTGCACGCCGCGCCATCAAGCTTTGCCCTTGCCCTTGGACTCAGATGAACCTGAAACAAATCCAAAAACTGTAAGCGAATTCTTAGTGAGTCCCCCAGAGCATACCACACACATACACATATCCTGTTAGCTAATCAAAGTTACACATGTAACACATAAAACCTGTAAGAATGCCATGGGCTACCCCACATGGTCTTTACCTAGGACTGCCATGGGCTACCCCACATGGTCTTACATCCAAAGCCATGGGCTCCCCCACATGGTCTTTACCTAGGAATGCCATGGGCTACCCCACATGGTCTTATATCCAATGCCACGGGTTCCCCCCTGGGGTCTTCCATGCAAAACACACAATCACATATCATAACGAATCACATATCATATCAAATCACATAATGGGCCGGCCTTGGTGCCTTAGACCCATGGGTATGGTGAGAAGACTCACCTCACAAAGCTGAATCGGTAACTGAATTCAGGTATGTCCTATGCTGCTCTTCCCAAACTGTTTATAATCAATGAGTAAATAACTCAGCATAATCCCATAAATACCCCCAGGGTCAACCCTGGTCAAAGTCAAAGTCTATAGTCAAGGTCGACAATCCATATTGACCTTGACTCGTCGAGTATAATCGTTCACTCGTCGGGTTCCCTGCTTAACTCATCGACTCACCGAGTCACCCGAGGGACTCGTCGAGTTCCTTGGTGTTTACGGCCGTAAACCGCCAACCTTACACCCCTGACCATTAACCCTTGGCCGTGAACCCTTTCGACTCGCCGAGTCTTTTGCACGACTCGTCGAGTCCCTATTAGTACATTATGTTTACGGCCTCTTCCAGTGGGACTCAAGGTCCCAAACTTCATATCTATACTCTACTAGTGTGGAATACACATAAAGTTGCAAACTTTACGTGTATACAAGGCCTCACATGGCCATAATCACAAAAACTAACCTTCAACAAGGTTTTCATGCATGGGAAGGGAATGAGCTCACTAAAAGGTGCAACTTTATGATAATTGGGACCTATAAAGGTCTAAATCTGGAACTATATCCTTGTGATAGGTCCAGATCTAGGCTTGCTTCCATTTCCTTAAAGTTGGTCACAACTCTCAAATAGAATTTATGCTTAAGGTAACAGATTCATACCTCAAATCAATGCCCAAGACAGACTAAATGCTATATCTAGTGTTTTCCCCTTGATACTTCTTCTTCAAGCTTGGAATACTCCCCAAAATCTCAAGGATAAGCTCCCAATTGATCTTACTTCACTCACAAGAGGGTGTGCGGCCGTAAACGTTCTTCTAAGGTGCTAAGGGAGGCTACTGGGGCGGATAATGATGTTTATATAGGGGGCAAACCCCAAAATTAGGGTTTTCTTTAAACAGCTCGGACTCGCCGAGTCACCTCCGTCCCGCGTTCCAGATACCCGAATCTACTCGACGAGTTGGTCCTCCAACTCGCCGAGTCCATGCATGAACCTCTCCAAATTGTCAACTTCCAGCCAATACCTAAATCGGGTGTTACATGCATTAAGCTCATGTTTAATACCATGACTTGCAAAAATTCCTCAAATGGTTATGCATATTCACATCCACATTCACTCTTTTTGTTGAGATGATTCTCAACCTCACTTTTGTACAGTTTAAACTTGTACATATTTACTTTTAAGTAAATTAACATATCAAAGTTTAATGCAATCGTCAATAAAAGTGATAAAGTACTTATATCACCGTTATATGTATTCGACTTCATATCACACACATTTATGTGAATTAATCCAAGGGGTTTAGTTGTCCTTTCAACTAACTTGAATGATTGGTGTATTAATTTCGACTCAACACAAGTGTTGCATCCATATTTTGACTTATATGAAAGTGAGGTATGTGTTCAAGTTTGATTATCCGTCTTAATGTGTCAAAATTAACATTTCCAAGTCTAACATGCCACACGTTAGATGATTTAAGCAAGTAAACGAAAGAGTTATCCAACTCATTGATATTAGGCTCATTAGCCAATATATGGAATTTAAACATTTCACCATCCTCATAGACCTTGCCTACAAACATACTTTTTTTAGGTTAGTACAAACTTATTAGACTCAAACACCAAACAAAATCCATGTTTGTTCAAAAACCATCCAAACACTAAGTTCTTCTATGGAACATACAACACATCATTAAGTGTTAGCTCTTTTCTATGTTATACCATTTCTAGAATGTTTTAAACACCAAATTTTAGTGTTTAGAATCACAATTTCAAGAATAAATTTTTTCCTCAACTTGGACAACCTTATAATTCTTGAGTCATTCCCTATTTGAGCACACATGGCGTGTAGCACCCATATCAATCCATCACTCAATGGAGTTAGCATCCATAGAGTTTACTTCGGAAATCATTCCACTTTGGATGGTGACATTTCTAAAATCATTTATACACTAAATATAAATGTTTAGAATTCTAATCTACAAAAAATATGTTTGCCTCTTGCTTGGACAAAACTCAACATAATTAAAATCTATATTTGAACAATTATGAAACTATATTTCTGATGCAGGAATTCTAAATTCGTTTTTTACTAAACACAACCTTTTTGTTTTTCACAAAACAATGCGGTCTGTTCAAGACTACTTTAGCCCCACTTAAACCTGTCAAAAATGAAATATAAGTTCATAATCCAGTAGCCCTGTCTCTTAGCTTTCCACAGACTACTTTCACAAGTGCATACGATTTTTCTACAATTTATTATGAATTTTACAAAACTGTGTATCATAGCTGTTAAAATCTACCCATTCAGTGAAAATCGTATTTTTCACCCTAGTTAGAGTTGTTTTCATCTTTCGGCCAAAACTAATGAAACAAAGTAGACTCATATACCAAACTTCGAGAATTGGTTTCAACCAAAAATGAGCATCCATGATTGAGTTATGATTTTTCAAATATTTGGACAGATTAAAGCATTTCACAACAACACGTAAATTATGTTTTTGAGTTAAACTAACTTCTTAACTCATTAGGTACTTAATAGAGTCAGTACCAAAGCTGGAAAGAATAGGTTTATTCGTTTTTTTGTCGTATATCATCTTATTAGACTTCCTAATTAATGTCATGTCACTTGTCAACCTATTGATTCTTTATTTCAAATTTTAATTTTCGAATTTCAAAATTTTCACTCTAATCACATTAAATGAATAATATTATAATAAAAATTAAAATAAAATTAATACAAATATAAGGTCACATATTTATTTAGATCAAATATTATAATTTTATATAACTAAAAAATATCTCTTAGTTAATAATTTATTTAAAATAATTTATTTAAAATAATTGATTAATAATTTTGAGTTTTTATTAGAAAATTTTAATTAATTTTATAACTATATTTACCTTACCGTTTATAAACTAATAAACAAATATATGAGTTTTGATAATATATTAATATATATTGAATAACCTTCCAAATTATGTAAGAATGTGCGTGGAGACTAAACACATGAAAAGGAAAATGCAAGGCCTTTAGGCTGTAGCTGTAGGCAGTTGCGTCGGCTTCCAGTCCAGCCCAAAATATCGAAGCCCATTTAGCTGCGTCGATTTGATCCGACCGCCGTTCTAGGTTGTCGGAACTTCGTGATTCATATTAAGACACCAATTGGGTGTTCCTTTTTGCCTCTTTCGTCATAAAATCCTCTTACTGCATCAAATCTAGTGTTTGTTCTCATGCTCTTTCCTGTCTTTAAAAAAATTCTACTCCAATTTCATTAGAAATCCTATTGCTTGCGTTATTTCAGGTTCTCTGTTACGAATCAAAGCAATTGTAGTGTTCGTTATGTTGTCCAGTGTTTTCAGCTATTGCTGCGTTTTTCTTTCTATCTCTTCAATTAGGGTTTCATATATTTCATGTCACAAGAAAAGTGGGAACGTGTTGTTGATTACAGAAGATTAGATAGCGTGCAATATATATAACTAGGTTATAACCCGTGGAAACCACAGTCGGTATATCTAGAATTTTTATATAGATAAAAAAATAATAAATGTCAAAAAAAAAACCAAGATCTTGTCGATTGTAAGTAATTATGAATTAATTTGTTAAGTTTAATAATGTTATTAGGATATGATTTTGTATTTTCAAAATTTGAATTGAATTTGATTTGTTACCAAAAAAAAAGAAAAAAATTAAAATCATTGAAAAATGTCACGTGTCAAAGAGACATTCTAAAAAACTGAAATGTGTCATTTTTAGGTTTCATTTATTAGAAGAGGTAAATTACGATTACACTGGACTTGGGTGTTGTTTTTAGTTGGGCCTAATTGACTGGGTCTGTTACATAGTTGGGCCTAATTGACTTGGGTGTTGTTTTTAGTTGGGCCTAATTGACTGGGTCTGTTACATCGTTTGTGCTAAATGTACCATATAGCCCAAAGGGTTTTTCGTGTAAAGCCTTACAAAAAACGCAGTTAACGGAAAACAAACCTATTCCGCGGCTGCCGTCGTCAGCTCCGCTACCGCCACCACCCTCTCCCTTTGCAGTAACGTAAGTTCTCGTCTTCCCTTCACCTCTCTTTCCTCTCTTTACTTCTGTAATTACTCATCACCTAGTGAAGTATTTTTCTGTACTTCATCATTAGCTAAGCTGTAATTCAGAGGTGGAAAAATGCCACGAACAACCACAGTAGAATCTGCTGGCTGTCCTCCACTTCGCGCCCTAACTTTCGATGTTCTCGGTCTCATCAAAGGTTTACTTCAACTATATTAGCTTATTTACGTTTGAATTTTATCTTCCTGTATTGCTAAAGCATTTGTCAAATCATGAATTGTTCACATAGTTTTTGGTGTATTTTATGATTGTAGTCACTGAAGCACGAAGTAAGCTAGGAGGAGTTCCTAAGGTGGTCGAGAGATGGGGTGAACCGGAATCCTCTCGATGCGTGCTTGCCGCCTCTACTAATGACCGTAAAATCGACCCTGTATGTTCTAATTCCACCATATGATATTTCATTTCAAAATTTTAGACACTTGTGTATATTAGACATCGACTGTAATGATTTTTCATTTGAGGACTGCTATTTACAGTTTTTAATCATATTTTTTTTGCAACATTTTGCAGCTGTTAGCTGTTGCAAGGAAAAGTGGTGTGGTAAGTTCTATCTATCAGCTCATCCATTCTTGTTTAAGCACTTGCATTGTTTGTTCCCTCACTATATATACTTTTCCCTGCCAAATAGATTGAATTGATTAGCTCCATCAATGGTGATCTTCGAGTTTCACTTCCTAGTGGCAACCAAGCTGATGTCCAGTCTCAAGAAGATAATATTGTTGGGTTGCATTTGTTCAAAAAACAAACATCTGAATCATCATCCAGGTATATGTCAAGATCATTACTTCTTTTCCCATTTAGTTATGATATCAAATTCATATGCAAGTAACAATCTGATCATTTACATAATCTCTTGTGTTTTAATTTAGGTCATGCACCTTGCTTACATGCACAACAAAAGGGCTTTCAACCCTGAGATCTTTAACACTACCAAAATCACCAGGGGACTCCACTAGTGACGATGATCAAGTCACATGGAATGTGTGTGCAGCTGGTAATGTCTTATGTTGTAAAGTGGATGATAATGAAAACTACGCCTTATTTGGAGGGTTAGTTTTTTTTTTCTTTTTATATATTTTATTCTTCATATAGTGGCTTTCAAATACTGTGATATAACAAATGTTTTGTACATCAGGAAAGGAGTAGAAGTTAATATATGGGATCTTGCAACACATACGAAAATCTGGACAGCAAAATCAGTAAGCCCATCTGTTCTTTTTTGCATGTTTACAGTTGTATAGGCAAATGCCTTCTCTATCAATTTCTCCACCATGTAATTTTCCTTATTTGCCCCTGCAGCCTCCTAAAAACAGCCTTGGGATATTTACACCAACCTGGTTTACTTCAGCCACATTTTTATGCAAAGATGATCACCGCAAGTTTGTGGGAGGCACCAACAGCCATCAGGTCCTTTCCTTTGAAGAAAGCATATAATATTCAGTTGTTCATTATTATTTATATGTTGAAATAACATGAATATATTGAATAGATGTCTAAATAAAAGTAGTATTTGTAGGTACGATTGTATGATATGGCTGCTCAAAGAAGACCTGTGATGTCATTTGATTTTCGTGAGACACCAATTAAGGCAATCACTGAAGATCAAGATGGCAATACAATTTACATTGGGAATGGATCTGGTGATCTTGCATCTGTTGACATTCGCACAGGTATGCAATTCTCAAAACTTTTCTTATATTGGTTGCTAAAATATTTCTCTTAGACAAGGGTAATTTCGTCATTTTACTTCCCGGTCCAGAAAAATGTATCTTATTTTTTTTCTTGACATGACCAAGAAACGAATGTTGACATTTGTTTTAATGCAATTTAATTTCAAGTTGGTAATTTTTTGCTGAAGGGAAACTATTGGGCTGCTTTTTGGGGAAATGTTCTGGAAGCATCAGATCAATAGCCAGGCATCCTGATCTCCCAGTGATAGCTTCTTGTGGTGAGTTTTTATTTTTATTTTTTTCAAGCCCTTCATATTTATTGCAGTCTTGGTATTTTCTTTTGGAAACTTCTTTTTGATTTAATTGGGACATGGTTTAATCCGGAAATTAAATTAATACAAAAAGGACCTAATAGAAAAAGTCAGTGAAAAGAGGTTTTCTCCATTTAGACATTTAGTCCTAACCTTCTTACAAATTTTGATGGTATTGTAGGACTTGACAGCTATTTGCGCATATGGGATATAAAATCAAGGCAGCTACTCTCTGCGGTATGTTGTTACACTAACCATTAAGGGCATACAAATAATTCAAACCAGTTGAATAGTACTTATTTATGCACTCATTTACCAATTTATGTAACAATATTCCACTTCTTTAATAATTTATTTTTCCGATTTATACAACTGATATGAATTATGATATGCAAACCATGTTTCAACTGGTTAAACAGATTGCATATTTTGGTCCTAAAATGAAACAAGGTTTTACATAAAGTTCCACATTAAACATTTTGAGTTGTGGATTTAATTATAGTTTGAAGATGGATGGATTGTAAAGATTTTGTTTGGAAAAAGGAAATTCTAGCTACTACTTTTGATTGTAATTGTATTCTAAGTTGTTGGAGAATGAATGCAGGTTTTCTTAAAGCAGCATCTCACAAATGTCGTCTTCGATTCTCATTTTAACGATGAAGGTTAGTCACTCTCATATTACTTAGGACAAGACAAAACATTAGGGAAAATATGCAATTTACCCAAAAGGGTGGGGTCTGGTCATGAGCAAAAGACGTGAATGCCCTTCTCGTCCCCATTAGGGAAAATAGCTCACACATTTTTTGATTCTCAATCTGCATGAACAGAAGTTGCAGCAGCTTCTGGTCCTCCAAGTGAACCAAAAGAAGATGATGAGCTAATAGAAAGAGATGAGGAGTCGCCACCAATTGTTAAACGCAAAAAGAAGAAATCCAAATCACGCGATGTTGACAGAGATGATGATGATGATGATGATGAATCGCATTCTGTTAAACGAAAAAAGTCCAAAAAATCACAGAATGTAGATGAAGATGAAGATGATGATGCTGATGAAGGGCCACATTCAAAAGAAAATAAAAAGTCCAAAAAACCAAAGAATGTAGACAAATACGAGGAAGGATTGCTTTCTGTTGAACATGAAAAGCTGAAAAACGTAAAGGATCGAAAATCAAAGAAATCAAAAGGCCAGAGGGTTGATTTGGAATGATGTATGATTTAAGAAGAGAATGATGATAGTTTAAGACAACAGTTTTGAAGTTTCTGATTGAACATGGTTCTTGGGGGATTATTGTTTTTGTGATATTGACTTGACTAGAAGGCATTGTTTGTGAGAATTAGTAAATTTTAACAAATTGTAAGGGGTTGATTGCAAAAGAATGCTAAGTATTTTTATCATTAATACATAATTTAAATTTTCTACTTTTTCAACCATTGAATGCGGCAAGCTGTATTTTTTATGGAGTTAATCATTTCAGTGGTCAAAAATAGAAAGTTAATATCATACAATGACCATGTTTAGTACTTATTTTCCAATATGTTCATAAAATATGAAAACGAAATAGTTTTTTTTAAGATAAAACTTCACAAAAACCTAACATATTTTATTTAATTAAAAAAAATATCATTATATGATTTTTCTAGTGGCGTGGCCAGATATCAGAAAAACCCAGTGGGAACGGGCAAGAATGTGGCCAAATATAAGAGGGAAAGGAATACAACTTAAAAAAATTATTGATTGGCTAAATAATCCATATTTAAATACTAAAAAGAACTCTTTTATTTATTTAATAAAACCAATTATTTATTTATTAGTTTTTTCGAATTATTCAGTTTTGGTTTACGTTGGTTCGGTTTTATATTTTAAATTTTGATATTCGATTTAACCGATTAAACCAACTAAGAATATATACGTATCGTAATTTTTTATTTTTAATATTTATTCTATAATAATCTTATAATTTGTTTTCATTATACAATACCTACTTTATCTTAGAAATAAATGGGAAGAATGTCGAGGGTAGGGTTCAAACTTGAGACCTATGGATTGTAGATGATGCGTTCTCCGCCTGTTTTGGAAATAGATGGTGTGGTATATATAAAACTAGGTTACAACCCGTGGAAACCACAGGTAAAAAAATTTATAAAACATTTATAATTATTATTAAGAATTTTTTGTTTTAGGTATTTTCTCCATTAATAGTTGGTGAAGCTACTTAAAATAACATTATGAAGACTTTATGTTTGGACGATATAAAGAAATTAAGTTAATTTACATCATTTGTGTGTATGATTGGTTATCCGTTGAAATACCAATCATACATTCTGTCGGGTACAAATATTGGTGATTCAAATGATATGTTCAAGAAGATTCAACTAATAACTAAGAACCTCGATAATGTGTTTTATATGACATTAACTTATGTTCTCTTGTTAACTTGAACTCCGGAATAGGGTATAAAGCTTGAAAGTAAAATGAGAAAATCTTACCATTACTGTTTATGAATTATAGTTTTTCTTTATTTGATGATACGCATGAATTGTTTCTAAAGTAAAAATATACTTATTAATCGTATTTGCAATGTATAATGGTGTTGATGTTGATGTTTGTTTATTATTATTATTATCATTATTATTATTATTATTATTATTATTATTTGCCGAAATCACATATGATGCATAGGATTGGATGCAAATGATTGCATACACATTCCGTAAATAGAGGATTGTATACCAAATATATTCATTGTGCATTAAATATTTTCGTGGAGTAAATAGGAAACAAATATGGAGTTATATTCTGAAAAATAAGACGAATAGCATTATGGTCAATTCACAATAATCGAAAGATGGATGTAGAGAGATGTCACGAGTACAAAATGTTTCACTTATTAGATAGGTAGATTAAGATGTATACTGTCATCTAAAAGAAGAGAATAATGACAACGGTGATGGTAGAACCATACCGAGTTTTGATAATTATTGTAGTGCTTTAAATTTACAATAAGTATATAAATGTTAAAGTAAATGATTTAAATACATATTTTTAAGTATGTATTCATATAATATACACATCCATACATATAATAAAATACACATACATAATTTTACTTACAAATACACAATTTTATATGTATAAATATGTATATTGATGAAAATATATTTTAGTTTTGTAATAAATATGTATTTTAAATGTATAAATGAATATTTTTATGCAAAATATGTTTTTTTTACATAGAAGTATATATGTTTACATAAAAACATAAACTCATATCATTACATTTGAATGAGTGATTGAATCATTTGAAGCGTGCAAAATGGCTGTTTGGGTTTCTTTTTCCAAAGTCATGATTCTAATTTCACTAAGTATATGACAATTTCGACCCATTCACTTGTATATTTATAAATTTATAAATTTAGTTATGTTTTATCTCTCAAACAATCAAATAATGGAAAATAAAAAGTTTAAGTAATATTAAACTTAAAAGTCACCCATCACCCATGATGGTATATTAACATTCTAAATTGTTTTATCCAATAATATCTTTATGTATCGAGTTAAAATGAACTCAAATTTTTTTATGAATAATTAATATATAAAATATTATTACGAAAACTATACCATTACATTACATTATCGTTGTTACAATGTTTCTCAGCTTACTGATTTCATTATACTTCTATTGAGAAAAAATGAGGATGGTCTTTAGTAAAAAAATCGTATTATTAAAAACATTTACAAACCACTTAAAAAAAGTAAATCCAAACCATCTTAGTTTTCAAAGTATTAAAAGTTGAAGTTAGAATCATTCTTACAAAAAAAAAAAAAAGGTGAGGTTTGGGTGAAAGAAGTTTAAAAAAATGTGGTTTGGAGTGCATCCCACATCGGCATCTTAGAGGAAACAGAGGGGCTGGAAGTCATTATATAACCAAAGCAGCTGGAGAAGAGAAAGGCACGCAGCCATGTAGTGAGCACAAAGCGAACTATTCTTTCGCCTTTTACTAAAGAATACCGTGTGCGCGCTGCCTATAGTGGCATACGCCTATTTTTGGAGTCTTTTCTTCTTGAAAAGCTCCAAACAATCTATAAAGTTTGAACTTTTTAGCTTATCAATTTTTTCATTGATTAAAAAATATAGAGCGATTAAATCATTTAAACTAACGTTCAGGAGTTGGAAATACCGAGTCTTACAAAGATAAAGCCGAAAGCATAAATGACAATTTGCTTTTCTTTTTTAGTGCGGGAAACTGAAATTAAAATTTTGAAGTCTAACTACAAAACCATTTATAGATTGAAAAAGGATTAAATTAACAAATATTCCTTATTTATACGTCCTATTCTTATATACATCGTTAACTTTTTTTAATTATTTAGTTATAATTAACTATTCGATTAGATCACACTAAGAGCTCCAAATTAAAAGAAACTGACACATTAAGAAGAAATAATAGGTTTTAGTTATTTTTTTGAGGTCTAATAAAATCTTAAACGGGACATTTGACTTCTATATACAAATCCAACTATAAAAAAACAAACAAACATTAAACACCCACTTAATGTAACGTGTGACAAGAGGAGGAAGGTAGGGTACATGAGATATCAAGGAGCACTGTAGATTTGTGCTAATTACTCCACAAATGTGGAAACGATAAATACTAAGACGTTTGATAAAAACGAGATTAGTAAGTGTTCGAAACACTAAGTGAGTAAGTCATATCAATATGCATGAATAATTAAAAGCAAAATGAACTATTGACACTTACATAATTGTAACCCTGTATAAATGAATAAGTGATTGAATAATTTAATGTGTTTTCCCCAAGAACAAATATCATAATTTTGATTCATGCACTTGTTAATGTGTCTAGTCTGTTAGGTTATGTTTTATTTTAAACGGCCAAATAGTTAAAATTAAAATAATATTTATATATATATATATATATATATATATATATATATATATATATATATATATATTAAACAAGCCGACTAAGTTTAACGTAACCGTAATTATATCTTAAACAGATACAAATTTCTAATTATTTATTTAAAAATTTATATTATGATCGGAACAATAGTTTCATAACAACCCAACTCGGCTTGAACCAAAATAATCAGTTTTGACATGTCACTTAACTTACCGACTTGTCGAATTATTCATCTCTATTATATAAGCATAATGTAATTTAGTAAAATTAGAGATTATTAAGTAATTACACATTATCTTCAAAACCAATATTTTGGTATCCAAATATAATTATTGGAGTTATTAAAAGTTATAATCTTACATAAACACCCTTAGAGAAAATAATCAATTTGTGAGGGAGTAAAAAAAATTGGAACTAGAAAATCCGAAGGCGAGAATACAATTTTTATTTATTTATTATTTATTATTATTATTTTTTGTAGATATTTCATGTCAAACTTTTATCATAGTAAAATAAAATGTTCTTTGTAGATATATAGTGGCATGCACCCATTTCAAAGAGTTCCTTCTTATTATGTTGAAGCCTCCAACCAATTTTTCTAGAAGCTATTTATTTATTTAATGTAGGACTTTGATGTTGTTTCTTTTTTATTTAACCGAGTTAACCAGGGCCGGCAGGGGCGGAGCTACTATGTAGCTCGGGGTATCCCGGACTACCCCTCCAATTTTTCCGTCAAATGTAAATTTTGTGTTTTTTTTTCGAAAATCCGTCACAAATCCGTTGGAAATCCGTCACAAATTCGTCACTAATCCGTCAGCAATCTATCACAAAGTCTGATAATTTTAAAATTAGTGTAAATTCACCGGTTTAGCGACGATTTTGTAATGGAAACTTCCTTTGGAAACAAATTTTTTTTCTAGTAGTTCAACCCCAAAAGAATTTGTGCTAGCCCTAATTTTTCTTTCTGGATCCGCCACTGAGGGCCGGTCTATTGGTTTTTCATGCCCAGGGCAAGATTAATTAAAAATGCCCCTATATATGTACAATATAATTCAAGAAACACATACTATATAATATTATTAAACATAGTGCAATACATTATTTATTTTATTATTTTCTTATCAATAACAACTACAACTATGTTTTTTTGAAAACATTAAACAATTTCATTGTTCTGGACAATGTAATTCAAGATTTCTATTTTGCTAATTGCTAACCATTAATTTCATCATATCCAATCTCATTACTCATTAGAATTGGAACTTCCATGGGGTCTAATACATCAACATAACCCGCAAAACAAAGAACATTGTTAATACAAAACTAAGTGCTACCATAAGTAACATATCTCATATGCTAATTACACCATAAAAACTAGTCTAACAATACTCAAATCTCCTAAATCAATATTCATTATCTCTGTTCAATCCAATTTTCCTTTTCTGGTGTATAATTAGCTGTTTATACTTCTTTTTTCCAAAATCATAAAACATTGAACAATATGAAGCAACTACTCTTAAAATCAAGACAAATACTAATATTGAAAGAACAATAATTCAAATGGTGAAATATTACTCAAAAAGGTGATGTACTTGCATCATGGGGTGACCAACTTTTTTATGATGTTTTTAAAATGCATGTTACAACTTGCCATATCACAATTTTCCATCTACAATGATATTTAGCTTTCTCATCAAATGTTGAGGAGTATACTTGAAAAAGAAATAGTTTTTATCAAAAAGTTGAATGATGAACACAACTCAAAAAATAACTAAAAATTAAAATAGAAATTGTATTGAAGCTAGTCTAACACAAAATCAATAATCCAAAAAAAAGGAACATTGCATCACCAACAAATAGAGTACAAAAGAAACAATTGTGAATCAATATTTAACATCGGTATCTACAAATATGTAAATTTCCTCCAAACTTGAACTTTGAAATAACCCAATGCCTCAATGGTCCTCATCCTTGAGTTATCAGAGATATAAATAATTTAATCTCAAATTGGAAACCAAATATGGGGTATTTACAATTTCACGAAGCTAATCACTAAACAAAATCAGAAATCATGAAGCCATATCTGAATCAGAATTTACAAAGACTCAAAAAATTAAGTAAGCACACATCATAAAATTTTAAAACCGGAAATGGGAAACCAAAGTCTGATAAACTGATAAATAAATTGATTTCTTTTACCAGTGTCGGCTTACTGCATCACATTCGAGATTTCAATGTTTCAAAGCGACTGGGAGAATCTAACTGCGTGAGTGTCTGTCTTCTCATTTTCTAAATTGGTCGTGAAGTCTCCTCGTCTTCTGAAAATTTTGTCGCCTTCAAGATGCATGTGCGCACACCCTGTTGCGATGCCATCATCCTTGATGGCTTGATGTGATACATGTTGGTGGACTTGAACCTCTATTTGTATTAAAATTTGGGCCAAATGATTTTTTAGACTTATAAAAGGTGGACTAAAACTGATGCCCCCGTTAAGTTGATGCCCTGGGCAGTGGCCCAGCTCGCCCTGCCCTTGGGCCGGCCCTGGAGTTAACATTCTTACCTCTTTTTTATGGCTATTCATCATATGACCAAATGAAAAAAATGTAAAAAAATTTAAAGTTGTTGGGAAATCCTTATGGTTAGCAAGAAGCAAAGCCATTATTGAGGTGTACAATTACAGAACTCCCAAGCAAAAGATAACATATTTTTTTTGTTGATTGTGTATATGTATATGATAGAATGCTAGTCATAAGTTTTGTTTATTTGATAGAAGTAAAATGTAAAACTCATGAGATGTTTGGATGTGTTTTGGTACTAATGATTTTGATTTATAAAGCGTTTTAGAAACTTTGAATTAAAAACACTCTAATTCAAGTTATTTATATTCAAAAAAAAAGTTTCACATTACTACGATAGAAAATAAAATAAAATTACAAATTTATCCGTGTGCGTTAATGTAATATTAAAAAGAATTTCACTCTTCCATTTTTTTTAATCAAAACAACACTTTGGTAATTTTATCCATTAGTTTCTAAAAAATCAAAATTTATGTCCAGATGGAATATTTTATTGGAATTATTTAGTATCTTGCAACCAACCACTTTGAATTAGTTTGGGAGTTCATCCCACATCGCTAGCTCAGAGTAAATAGAAGGCTTTGGAGTCGTTATATAAACCAAGCAGCTGGAGAAGTGAAAGGCACGCAGCCATGCAGTGAGCACAAAGCGAACTATTCTTTCGCCTTTTACTAAAGAATACCGTGTGCGCGCTGCCTATAGTGGCATACGCCTATTTTTGGAGAGTCTCTTCTTGCTGAAGAGCTCCAACCAATCTTTAAAGTTCAAGTTTTCAAAGTTGTTTCGACTGCTATTTTGCTGAAGTTAGAGCTCCAACATTCGAACTCTTCTAAATCAACCCATTTAGACTTTCTTGGCAAATCAAATGAAAGAAACTTTGCAATTATCCTATCTAACTAATTTGCAATACAAAATAAATAAGAGGTTTTCGACTATTCTATGAAGTCTAGATGGGTATTTGTATTTAATTTGTAACTGGATCAAAACCTCAAAAAGAGTAGTGTTCCTACATACAACTGTTCTCATAATACAACATAGATTAGTCCGAAATAAAAGAAAGTGAGACAAAAAAGAAAGGACTCAATTCCAAAACCACATTCGTACAAATACTAAGCAAAAAAAAAAAAATATGGGAATTGTGCATATCATCTCATGAGAGCACTCTGGACCTCAGCTGTAACATCTTGTGGCTGTTTTTCTGCGTGAAGGTTTGCAACAATGTTTTTCTTCTTGTAATAATCAATAACCTTCAAATCAAACACCAAACACAAAAATTATAAGTTATTTACAAGTATAATTGACACTATATATTAATTGAAGACAATGAGACATACTGGCTCAGTCTGTTTATGGAATGCTTCCAGTCTTGACTTTAGGACAGCTGCTGTGTCATCTTTCCGTTGAATCAAAGGCTCTCCAGTCACCTTCAACACACACAAAGTAACAAAAGTCATTCAAAAACCATAAATAAATTAAAAAAATTCAATGAAGCTGATTACTAAATTATATAAATAAATAAATCTGACATACATCGTCTATGCCAGGAACTTTAGGGGGTGCAAAATTTGAGTGATAACTCCGACCACTTGAAGGATGGATCCAACGGCCAGTAATCCTCTCCTCTAAGATTGCATCATCTATTGCAAAGTTTAGCACTTTGTCAACTTTCACCCCTCTCCTTCCAAGCATCTCATCAAGCTATAACATAACACACAATTAAATATCACATTCAAGAATCTTGATTGATGTTAAAAAAAAAAAAAAACCTTTTCTGCCTGGACCACTGTTCTTGGGAATCCATCAAGAATGAAACCTTTTTGACATGAAGGTTCGTTGATAGCTTCATCAATTATCCCCACTACTAAGTCATCAGAAACCAGTTGTCCCTATTAAACACATAGGAATATAGGATGTGATGTGAGTACAAACAAGTATATATAGTAAAGTAAAACACATACATTCTCCATAGCCTCTTTTGCTTTGATTCCAAGAGGGGTTTTTGCAGCAACAGCAGCTCTTAGCATATCACCTGTTGCCAGGTGGCATAGACAGTATTCATCCTTGATTATTGGTGACTGGGTGCCTTTACCAGATCCAGGGGGTCCTACACAAGATGAAAAAACATATCTTAATTTTCATGGAAAACGCATAATGAATCAAAGATCTCCAACTGAGACACTATTTACCTAGAATAATAAGAATGTGTCGCATAATTCACATTAATCTTGAGGCAAAATACAACATGCAAAAGTTGTAATAAATGTTGATCTGTTATACACTTGCCTATGATTTCACTAAGCTCTAAAATTTGACACTAACTCTACCTCGCTAGTCGCTATTATGATTACCCCTCCTGTAAACAATATAGGAAGCAAATAGAATCCTAAAAGAATGTTTATGCAATCTCCTATAATAACCAAAATTTCTAACTAAACCAAATCCAAAATCAAGTACTTATTATAACCTCACGTTTAGGGAAAAAAGAATCATATTTGCTGCATTTCTACGCAGCAATACGATAAAGTCAATAAGAAAACACAAAAACTCATAGCAAACAGAATCCCAAATGAACGTTTCTGCAATTCTCTAACCGAATCAAATCCCTGATAACGTCATGTTTAGGAAATTGGCATATGTTAAATAGCGCAGCATGTTCGACATAGCAATCCGATGAATTTAAAAAAAAAATTTAAAAAAAAAATCCTAAAAGAGAACCTTCTGTTGACTAAATCGCATCGGATCTGAGCAAATTAACAAGACCAACACTTTGTGAAACAAAACTCAGGCAGAAACGCTTATATATGGAGAAAAAAATGGACATGCAAACAAGAGGTTACCGACGAGAATGAGGCGTTTGTCAGGTTTGGTAGAGCATTTCATACGACGAAGCAGCTCCATCATTAGGTCTACCGACTGAAAATCCTCCAAATTCACCGCCGTTGAACTTGTCATTGCCTCCTGTAGGGGTCTTTGCTCTCAAAATCTTCAAAACAAATTGATCAAATGATCAGTAATAGTTCTTGAGAGCTTCTTCGTCTGCTTTGTGAGCCTGTGACGACTTTGAGTTTGAGATATGCTTCGATTTAAGTCCCACAAAAGTGTACCAACACATTTCCTTTTTTACCCTCCATTGAATAAACTGATTATCTAGAGGGTGTTTGGCTTAGCTTTTGTGGGGCAAAAGTCTTTTTTGTAAAAAGACTTTTTGTAAAATTTGTTTTTAAAATGTGTTTGGATTAGCTTTTGAAGAGAAAAAATCAAAAATTAAAGTGTTTTGTTTAATTTTTACATGCAAAATGACTAAAAATGACATGTTTACATATTTATTGGGGGTAGATGGAGATATAAAAGTAATTTTAATGTTTAACACTGTTGAAAAGTTGGAAAAGTCGTGATTTCGTGACTTTTCAAAAAGACCAAATTTACTCTATTGGAAAAGTCATTTTCAAAAGTCATTCTCGTCTTCCCAAGCATCTTTTTGACTTTTTCTAAAAGAAAAAGTCAAAAGTCATTTTAGAAGCTAAAACAAACACCCTCCTAATGGTCACAAAATCAAATAAATCAAATGGTAATTCATCTTTAAAAAATATTAATAAGTTGATGAAAAATAAGTTGTCATCTTTTTAAGGGATAATGACTTAAAAGGGTAACATATTTTTTGATATGTACACATTTAGTCACCGAGATTTTTTTTTGTCCATATTTTCCCATTGAACTTGTTGAACTGTTCAAAAAACATCCTTATGACCTGCAATCATAGGTTTAACCGGTTTCTGGCGAGTCTCCGGTCTTTTTCTCCGGCGAGGCTCCGATGTTCATGATTTTTCCGGCGAAACATAATCTTTTTCATAAAACAAAGATTAACACATCAAATATATTCCAGATTCAAGAACACATACAAAAATAAATATATAAACACACATACATACACATCAGATCACTATTCATCGTCTTTAACCTCCAAGCCACCATTAAAATCGAGTTCTTGGGTTTATGATTTTCAGATGATGGTGTTCGAAGGGAGTGAAAGATAGTATGTGTTGTTCCAAATTCTACTTCAGAAAGGAAAGAATAGAGAAGTGTATGAGTGTTGTTCCAAAATCATGAACACACTAACTGATCTGGAAATCGTTCCAAAAACCAAAATCTCATATCTGGGAAGAAGATGAACACGATGAAGATCTACAAACAAAGAAGATGAACACACACACACATACTTCGATTTATGGAGGCTGAAACACATATATCAGATATGTGATGAACACAGATAAATATACATCAGATTATTGTTCATCGTCTTCAACCTCCGTTCATGGTGTTCTTAAGCAAATCTGAAACGATTTCTTGAGCAAACCTTTGGTTTTTTGAAGAATAAAACACCAGAAATGATTTCTTGAGCAAAACGATTGCGTCCAAGGCAGATCTAGCAAAAAACGAAATCATACACACATGTAGATATAGGTTCGTGTTTTGATCTAATACATACACAGACACATTCAAATCTGAAGAAGTTCTCAAGAACACGATGAACAACCCTGATGAACCTAATAAAGATCTCAAGAACACGATGAACAAACCCGTTAGAAGATCTCGATAGATCTGGAATTTTTGATCGAAGAAGATGAAGATGAAGAATTATTTTCTGGGTTTGAGTTCTTGAGTTTGAACAAAAAAAGATGACGATGAAAAATTGATTTCTAGGTTTGATTTCTTGAGTTTGAAAATCCAACACCCATATGGGTTTATGTTTGAAATTTGTTCAGATCTAACACAAACACACACGTAAATCTGAAATTTATGATGAACTCGTTTTTTGATCGTTGTTCTTGAAGATGTTTAACCTTGGTTGAAGGGGTTGAAGACTTTCCAGAAGAAAAACACCTAAATCTAAGTTTTTTGGTGTTTTTGGTCGGATACTCGCCGGAGTCTCGCCAGAAACCGGCTAAACCACCGATAGCAGGTAATAAGGATGTTTTTTGAACAGTTCAACAAGTTCAATGGGAAAACATGAACAAAAAAAAAACTCAGTGACTAAACATGTACAAATCCATAAATATGTTACCCTTTTAAGTCATTATCCCTTTTTTTAAATGAAAATTAACAACATATAATGATGTTGCCATTTCATCTATTAATATCTCATCTTATTATTACAATTTCAAAAAGCATACCAACATATTATAAAACGCATTATGTATTCCTTTTAAATTTACATATTATCCTGGGAGGACGCAAGATTTCATCTTAGGGGTGACACAATAATAGAAAAAAAAATCGAAAATTACATTGCATACAGGCAAGTAAGGCATTGTCGGTGCCATCATAGGACCCTATACAAAACCGCCCTTGATTCAAGCAAAAATAAGTGATATTGCTTATTTTTTTTATGTCAACCTAAAATCAAACAAGATAAATGTGTTGACACAAAACAACTGCTAACTTCTTAAAAAAATGAATATTTTGGTAAATCTGAGAGGTAAATGAAAATATAAGAGTTTTTTATACATATAAACAAAATGTGAGGATTTGTTCTAAATGCAAGTAAATAAATTGTTGGGTTTTTTGTATTATTATTATTATTATTATTAGAAAAAAAATTCAATGGTTTTTTGTGTTGTACAAAAATTGTTCAGAATTATACAAACATTCCAATAATTGATGGACGTCTAAAATTATTATTAATATCAATTATTTTTTCTAATAATAATGAAAATTACGGAATAATTAACAGAAGTTCAAAACTTCATGGACATTTATACCAATGATATTGAAAAGGAATCAAATTTCACGGGTTTACAAAACACTCAAAAGGAATCAAATTTCAACTTATAAAATAAAATGAATCGACTGGCAATATGAATCATTCAGTAAATTTATCATTTATTAAACTGCAATAAAAAAAACTCATCAAACCGATGCACCATTCTAGTAAAGTCCCCTATAATAACAATGGATAGTTTTTACACTGACCATGTATTATTTTTTGTGAATAGCTTTAATATATTTTTTGGATGTTATATGTTGGTAACACTTACCAAATATTATATTTTGATTTTTTCATTTGTTAGGTGTTTAGCAATCATGAAAATTGAATAGAGTATGTACATGAATGTGACATGGTGTCTTTGGTATTATCAACAAATGAAGGCAAACTATACACGATGTTGTGATTATTAATTTGCCATTTTTCTAACTCAATTTCTAACATTTTCATTGGCTAAAAGTTGTATTCTATTCTTTCATTTATTCACCTTAATTATAATATTTTACAACTTTTAACAGTCATCACTTCCGATTCGTAATAAAAACTGATTGATCGATTAACTGTATAACCAAATTTTAAACTAACTTACTAACTTATCAGTACACTCTGTTTATTTCATCATCATTTGCACTCATGTATCAACATTTTCATTTTCTTTTACCTTTTATATTTTTTTTAAAGCAGAAGATACAACGATTTTAAAAGTTGGGCTAATGATATAAGTCAAATCGAGAACGATGATATTCTAAAAATAAATATTTTTTTTGTGCAAACTAAAAAACATATGACATTTTTGGCAATCTATTCCAGCATCCACATTTATGGCTCATTTAACTGGTCCTACATTTTGCCCAAACACGTATTTTCAGTTAAGCATCCACTGAAACTTACACAACACAGGACATGACATAACAGATTGTATTGCATCTGACACATGCATTGGATATGTAGGTATCTTATGTGCAAAAGACATAAATTCTCTCCTCGTCCTTATCATTTTAGTTAGCCCTACAAAGCTTCTTCGGTCCCATACTAAACAAGAAAATGAAACCTCACACAACATAATTATATAAGCTTATTAAGGCTATTTTTTATGATGAGGGTATTTGCGTCTTTTTCATAAACAAAAGACCTCCAATCCATGTCTTACCTTGTTTAACCTTAACATGTGGGACAAAAAATTACAATTTTATAGCCAATCAGTTTCTGTCCCAATCCAATGCATGTCAAGTGAAGTACAACATGTTCTGCCATGTCGTCTCATATCATTATACAAGGCCTTAGTGGGCTTCATGTCAGTCATATATGAGAGAGAGATAGGTAGAGGATAACATGGCTTTAACCAGTGCATCTGAAGTCCATATAGTTAAATTGTCCCTTAACATTTGCATAATCAAAGTTCTATCCTTGTAGGATTCTTCACCCAAGGTGTCCAGCTCAGCAATGGATTCCTCGAATGCCTACTCATAAGAAAAACAATCAAATATATAATCACAATACATTAATTTTGATGATGCTTGTTTTATGGTATTTAAATAATTAAAGTTACCTGTTTAGCCATGTTGCAAGCCCTGTTAGATGAATTGAAAATCTCATAGTAAAACACTGAGAAATTTAGTGCCAATCCCAATCTTATCGGATGTGTTGGAGCCATATATGTTGCTGCAATATCCTTGAAACAATAACCAATTGCAAAAAGATTACATATAATTCAAATCTCACATGGTTATCATTCAAGTCCTAGTATACAACAAATAAACAAGATTTTACATTTAGATTAGCATCTATCATCAAAATCTGAATGTACTTCCATAATTTTGCTTAATTTTCAATATGACTCATATGATGCTTGTATATAGTCTATGCTCTAGTATAGTAGTACATACATTAATGATTGATGGTGTCCTTATATGAGAAATCACATGTATAGTCGAATTAGGGTTCTTCAGAGTTCAAACTAGCATATAATGATCTACACTGAACTACTGACTTGATAGTGTGGCATAACTGAATAAGAAAGGCTAAACGGATAATCTCATATCTCCTATAGGAATGCCATGACTAAGGGGAAATTTCATAGTCAAATTGTATAAACATGCATACTTCACAAATTTTAACCTAAATATCAAAATTCTTCAAGATATAAGTATAATATAAATAGTTGAACTACCTGAGCAGCTTTGTATGAATTCATAGCATCCTCGGTTGCTTCCTTTCGCTCATCTCCTACTTCAAACTTAACCAAATACCTATGGTAATCCTATTTCATCTTCAACTAAAATACCTTCGACTCACCGGTAGAACCCGATGGTACAAGATTCGACTCCAAAAGCTTCAAAATTCCCGAGCAAAGATCCGTAAGTTCTTTATTGACCTTAGGTTTGTAATCCTTGACTAGTACAACGTGATCGTCGTTCTTCCGTGATTCCTCCTTTTGTTCAATCGATGAAACGATGCGCCAAGCCGCTCAGAGAGAGTCTATGAAGTTCTTGTACGCAACGGAGATAAGGTTACGTTCCTCGACTGTGAGCTCAAATGTCACACCCCCAAACCAGAACGGCGGAAACGTTCGGGGATGGAGGACGTCATGTACAGTATCATAACAATGCACAATAGTAAAACAAGCAACAACATCCATTGCATTAATAGATAAGTTAATACATGTGTGTTCTGTGAATAGTTGTATGATACCAAAAATATATATTTAACAAAATAAAGACGAGTCTTGAACATGCTCCGTCTTCTCAAAAACCTGGTCCAGTGTACCTGTCTACTGGTGACCTGAGAATACAAGTTATTTTGAAAAATAGTATCAACATAAAAGTTGAGTGAGTGCATAAGTATTTTTTGTGTCAAGTGTTTGCATTTGTTTCATGAAAATGTTTGTATATGTAAAGTAAAAATGTTTGTATCTTTCCAGAAAATCCTATATTTTCTATTTAAATGAAAAGTAGTCTTCTACCAAGACTCAACTGTTTGTATGCTCTGTTCTCTTGAATAAAAGTGTAAAATGTATGTTTTGTACTTGAAATAGTATAATTGTATGTTTTTTCCATATAGGTAACTATCTTTACTCGAAAAATAGTATGTGTTTCTCGTGTGAGAATATCACTGTATGAATGTAAATGGAAAATGAAGATTTACAGTAGTGTTGTATAAAATACACTACAAATGCATTAACTACCTTGTAACCATACAGGTTAATTTTAAGGTTAAAAATGTGATAAGGTTATAACCATGCTTGATTGACTAGTATAAAACACGACGTTCTTCAGGCATCGAAAATGATATGACATTTGTCACCCGTAGACTTGCAGGTCCTACTGTAGCTAGCAGCAAGGTGTAGGATTGTCAATCCAGTATAGATCTATACACAAACTCACGCTCTCCCTACAGGAGACTATGGTTATAAAAGTGACATAGCAAGGAAATTGCTATGCCATGAAATAGTATCTCACATTTCAGTTATATTGTTCTCGTTATAGTATGTATGTTCCTTCTGGTTCTTGTTATAGTATGTATATCCCTTCTTGTTCTTGTTATAGTATGTATGTTCCTTCTTTGTATGTTTCTTTGATCTAGAAATAGTATGTAGAAATCCTCTAAACTATACCTATTATAGTTTACTAGTATGTTTGTTTGAACTGTTACTAATTTGTAGAAAAGACTCAATTGTTCAACATAAGCAAAACTGAGTTAGTATGTTCCTTAAAAATGGGTTTAATATTTATGTAGGTATTCAATGAGTATAAATATGATTTAGCCGACAATCGGACTAGTGATCCTACCCTAAGCCCACAACCAAACAAGGATCAGGAGTTAAGGTATTTAGCAATAGTCCTAAGTCCGTTAAAGCATACTTATACATAAATAGATACACAAATATGATTTTTGATATAAACAGAAATCTAAGAATAGTTTTAAAATGGTTTTAACAAGTGTTTGAGTATAAGAAATCCTTTTGTTTGACGTTTTCACATGTAAGTGGTTAACAGAATTATATTGTTTTCTACTTGTATTCCCCCCCTTAAAAGCATTTAAAAGCATATAACACTATAATTTGTAGGGGTATGAACTCACTTTATGTGAGTGATACGATTGAATGTTCGATACAGGATGATTGATTCACAAGCTAGTTCCCGGGACAAAACAAGTCCTAAATAGCAATTTATGCAACATATTGGCATGAAGTTAGTGAATATAACCTCAAAGGCATTAGGAAAACAACCTAGGATGTAAGGAACACTTACAGAATAAGTGTTAGAACCGAAATCAAGAAACTGCTTGATGTTCACGGCCGTAAATGGTTCACGACCCTTGAAGATTTGAAGGGTTCACGGTCGAAAACTCGGAAATGAAGAACACTTGATTGCTGAAAGGATGAACTTTTGATGATTCTCTACAGATCCGAAGGTGGATTAAGGATCCTCGCATGATAGATGAGAGAAAAGAGGGTTTACGGTTGATGATCTTTGGGGAGAGAATGGGAGTGTTTGCGGTCAGAAGTGTAAGTGAGACAAAAATCAGTCAACCTTTATATATATAGGGGATGAGTTCACGACGACAAACCGAGGTTCACGGCCCGAAGGCTGTTCACGGCCCGAAGGCTCGTTCAACGCCCGAAGTGTAACGACCCAATTTTACCAAGAAAATTTTTCATTTTTAGTTAATCAAAACCAATCTCATAAACCATAAAATCCCAAAACATTTGTTTTCAAATCAACATTCATTACATCATTGTTTTCCTTTTTAAAACATCAGAGGGTCCCAAGAACATCAAAAAGAGAGATAGAGTGCACACTACGTCATCACGCCTTGCCCTTGCCCTTAGGCTCTGAAGTACCTGAAACAATTCAACAACCTGTAAGCGAAATGCTTAGTGAGTTTCCCAGAGCATACCACACACATTCACATACACATATCCTGATAGCTAAAAAAAGCTATAAACATGCCACAAAAACTATGCAATATGATTCAGCAAGAATGTCATGGGCTACCCCACATGGTCTTTACCTAGGACCGCCATGGGCTACCCCACATGGCCTTACATCCAATTCCATGGGCTACCCCACATGGTCTTTACGTATGACTGCCATGGGCTACCCCACATGGTCTTATATCCAATGCCACGGGCTCCCCCCGGGGTCTTCCATACCAACATAATATCACATAACATATCAATTCATAAATGAATAACACACACATAACATGATCACATAATGGGCCGGCCTTGGTGCCGTAGACCCATAGGTATGGTGAGAAGACTCACCTCCGTCCGATGAATACAAATACTGCCCTCCCAATAATCCGCAACCTCCCAAGCTCAATAATAACAATAATATATAATCAATGATAAGACCTTAAATTACCCAAGGAAAGGCCCAACCTTCAAACTCTACCCCCAAGGCCTAATTACCCTTTTCTTGCAAATTGGGCCCCAAAATCCAAGTCCAATATCCTCAATGCGCCCCTTGGCCCAATAAGGCCCAACCAATAAGTCCTCCGCCCAAACAGATGAAAAGGCCTCAATCTTACAGAATCCAATCAAGCTCAACAGCCAAATGAGGCCCAAAGGCCCAAAACAGCTTAGGGCCCAACTGAGCTGCGTACGCCTAACGTACCTCCCTGGTACGCAGAGTGTACTGAAGGTCTAGCAACTACGCGCTGCGTACAGACAGTTATGCCCATCGTACAACCGTATTAAGCACTTTTCCCATTAAGTGTTTAATGCTCGAATCCCTCACGTCCAAAAGCTAGATCTAAGTCTGAAAAGATGTCCTAAGGCATAAAGTTGGCAACTTTATGCCCTTGCATGTCACATACACACCCAACCACTCCATTAAGACCTTTCCAAGGTCTTTTACCCAAGCATGAGGTCAAATCTCCCATCAAGCTTCCATTTTTATACTTCTAAATGACTAGGGGACCTCAGATCTGACTTTCATATCAAAAGGGAAGGCTTAACTCAACAAAAGAGGTCCAAAGTTCGTAAAAGGGACAAACCACCAAAACCCTAGCTAGATCTAAAGATTAGAAAGGAAAGATGCAAGCTTTTTACCTTCAGAAGCCTTGCAAGATGCTTTTGGTCCAGGATCTTGAAGCACCCACTTGATCCAAGCTTGCTTGACCACCCTTCTTCTTGAAATACACACAAAAAGGCCACAAATGAAATCTTTAAGGCTTAAGAATGATCTCACAAGGTTTACAGGAGTATATGGACGTTCTAAGGCTGTGGAGGCTCTCTAGGGTTTAGTCCAAGGGACTTAAAGTTGTTTAAATAGGCCTAAAGTCCGGAAAATTAGGGTTTTGCGTCCCTTGCGCGTACACCCTGTGTAACATAAGGTACGCCCGGCGTACCCTGATTCCTCCGAGACCACTTCCATGCAGTACGCTAAGCGTACACTTAAGTACGCCCAGCGTACTTAAGGGACCAATTATGCAAAAATTATCATTTCTTAGGGTTTCAAGACATACCATAATTTTGGATGTTACAACTCTCCCCCCACTTGAACTAGACTTCGTCCTCAAAGTCTGCAGCTGAAAACAGTTCGGGGTAATGCTCCCGCATCTCCTCCTCTGGCTCCCATGTCCATTCGGAGCCCCTTCGGTGCTGCCATTGCACCTTTACCAACTTCACTTCCTTGTTCCGAAGTC